TATTTGACAAGGACAACAAAAACATACATTGCAGAAAAAACTGCATCTCTCACTCTAAAATCAACTCTAAATGGATTGAAGACTTAAGTATAAGATCTGAAACTGTAAAATTACTGAGGGAAAACATAACTGAAACACTTCAGGAACTAGGTCTGGGCACAGACTTTATGGAACATGAGCCCAAAAGCACAGGCAGCAAAAGAAAAAATAAACAAATGGGACTATATCAAACCAAAAAGCTTCTGCACAGCAAAGGAAACAATTGATAGAGTGTAACAACAACCTACAGAGTGGGAGAAAATTTTTGCTTATTATGCATCCAACAAGGGATTAATATCCATAACATACAAGGAACTCAAGCTATTACACAGTAAAAAAAACCCAAATAACCCAATGAAAAAATGGGCAAAGGAGCTGAATAGACATTTTTCAAAGGAAGACATACAAATGGCCAACAGGTACATGAAAAAAATGCTCAACATCACTAGTTATCAGGGAAATGCAAATTAAAACCACATTGAGATACCACCTCACCCCAGTTAGACTATAATCAAAAAGACAGAGAATAACAAATGCTGGCAAGGGGGTGGAGAGAAGGGAATACTCCTACACTGGTGGCGGGCCTGTAAATTAGTACAACCACTATGGAAAACAGGAGCTTTCTCAAACATCTTCAGATTGATCTTCCATACTCTCCAGCAATCCCACTTCTGGGTATACACTCAAAGGAATGGAAATCATCATGTTGAAGGGATACCTGCACTCCCATGTTCATCGCAGCTATGTTTACAGTAGCCAAGATATGGAACCAACCTAAATGTCCATCAATGGACGATTGGATAAGGAAAATGTGGTATATATACATCATGGAATACTATTCTGCCATGAAAAAGAATGAAATTCTCTCATTTGCAACAACATGGATGAGCTCGGAGAAACTTACATTGAGTGAAATAAAGAACAGAGGGATAAATACCACATGTCCTCACTCATAAGTGGAAGCTAAGAGAGAAAGAAGGAAGGAAAAAAAGACTACAGTGGTATGTTGGACTTCCAGAGGGAGAGAGCATACCTAGGGATACAAAGTGGAATGTGGGGAAAGGGGATCGGGAGGGAGGTTGGGGATAATTGGGTGGGGGACACTGGGTATAATCACAATTTGTAGTAATGGGTATGCTGCCAGTATGAATCTGGCCATCACATCTTGGGCACAAGTGGTGACAATCAGCTTTGTATCTCATGAATATTCGTAACCAATAAAAAATGTACTATGCAAGAAAAACCCCAATAAATAAACAAAAATACAAATTGTGGGTGTTCCAGAAGGGAAGGAGAAAGAAAAAGGCATGGAAAACCTATTCAACAAGATAATAACAAAAAAGTTCTCAGGTAAAGGAAGAGACACAGACCTTCAAATCCAGAAGGCTCAAAGATCCCTAAACAGATTCAACCCAAAAAGATCCTCCCCAAGAAACATTATAGTCAAATTGGCAAAGCTAATAACAAAGAGAAAATCTTAAAAGAAGCAAGAGAAAAGTGTCAAGTCACCTATAAGAGAGCCTGTATTAGTCCATTTTGTGTTGCTGTAACAGAATTACCTGAGACTGGATAATTTATAAGGAAAAGAGGTTTATTTGGCTTACAATTCTGGGACAGCTACATCTGGCATGGGCCTCAGGCTGCTTCTAGTCATGGAGGAATGGCAGGCAGCCAGTGGGTACAAGCAGATCGCATGGCAAGAGAGAGGGGGGTGCCAGGGTCCTTTATACAAGCAGCTCTCGCAGGAACTAATAGAGCCAGAACTCACTCATTAATCCCCCCTCCCCCAGGGAGAGCATTAAT